GGGTTTGTTTTTTTTTTTTTTTTTTTTTTTTTTTTGGCTTTGTCGTCGTCGTCGTCGTCGTCGTTGTCATGATGGTGGTGGTGGTGATAAATGCACGCTGTCCGCCGGGGGCTCTGCGCCGGGGGGGGGTCCTCTCAGGGTGCCTAAAGCAGAGGAGAAGGGAGCGAAGGGTGGCACGGCCGCGCTATCCCAGGTACCAGGACTGCAGAGAGAAGGAGAGGCGGCGTTAGTGCTGAGCCTGCAGCCCCAGGCCTTGCTTTCCCCGTGTGGAGGTGGAGGGGGGGGGGATGGACACCCTCACCCGGTGTCACTGGGCCACATCTCGTGTCCCCCGTGCTGCTGGCCCCGCTGTGCTGGCAGCCTGCATCCAGCTGCGCTGGGGGTGCTGCACATCCAGGAGCTCCGTGTCACCGTGCCACCTTCACGTCCCCGTGCCACTGTGTGCCCCCCCACCATGTCACCACGCCACTCCACCCCTCCATGTCTTCAAGTCACTGAAGCCCTCCACGTCTCCATGTCCCCACGTCGTTGTGCTCATCCACACCCGCATGACCCCGAGTCCCCACATCCCCTGCAAGTCCCTCCATGTCCCTGCATCACTGTGCCCCTTCATGTCCTCATGTCACTGTGCTCATCCACACCCCCGTGTCCCCAAGGCCTCACATCACTGTGACCCTTCATGTCACCGTGTCACTGCGCTCCTCAACATCCCCACGTCCCCAAGTCCCCATATTCATGTGCCCCTCCATGTCAGTGTCCCCGTGTGACTGTGCCCCTCCATGTCTCCATGCCCTTATGTCACTGTGCTCCTCAATGTCCCCACGTCCCCAAATTCCCACATCACTGTGCCCCTCCACGTCCCCATATCTCTGTGCCCGTCCATGTCACCACATCCCCATGTCACTGTGCTCCCTCCAAGTCCCTCCATGCACCCACATCACTGTGCCCCTCCATGTCCCCACGTCCCCATGCCACTGTGCTCCTCAATGTCCCCACACCCCCAACTCCCCCACATACCCAAGAACCCCTCCATGTCCCCATATCTCTGTACCCATCCATGTCACCATGTCCCCATGTCCCTGTGCCCCTCCATGTCCCCACATCCCCTGCCCAGTTTTCCCTTCTGCCAGCAGCAAGACGGGTCCCCACCACCCACACTGTCCCCACCAGTGCCACCCCACCGAGCAAATCCCCATTTTGGGGCCACTGTGCCCCACACCACCCCCCATCCCCTCTCCACGGCGATTTTGGGGATGGCTTCACCCCACCAAGGCGCTGCAGTGACACCCCCAGGGTTCTCCCCTTGGGGACAGCGCTGTCCCCAGCTCAGGGGTGGTGGGGCGGGGGGGCCCCCCACCGCTCTCCCATTGTCTCCAGCCTCCCCAAGTCCAAGTTCATCCCCGATGACCTCATGTCTGGTTTCCGTTGGCAACGAGACAGCTCGGGGGCCTCCGTTTCCCTTAACCCTTCCTGGCCCCTCCACACATGAACCGAACGTGCCGGGTCTCAGCCGCTCCCCGCTCCCCAACGTGTCCCCCCCCCTCAAACTCACACCCAGCTATGGGGACACCCAGAGTCACTGCAGAGAACCCGCTGGGGGTGGCACGTTGCTCAGGACATGGTGTGGGGGTGCCCCTGTGCCCGGTGATGCCACGGGGCCGTGGCTGTACTGCAGTGGCACGGGAGACGTGGCCACGGGGGGGGTCACCTGCAAACCCCCTGCTATTGCTGTGCCCACACTGGGGACACTGCAGTGACAATGGTGACGATGCTCACGGTGCTGGCGGTGCCCACAGCGGCGGTCAGACGGCGGCGATGCCCACAGCACAAATCCCCACGGCTGCAGTGCCCGCAGCAGCAGTGCCTGCAGTGCTGCTGCCCACGACGGCGATGCCCAAAGCAGTAACAACGTGGTGGCAGTGCCACAGCAGCAATGCCCTCGGTGGCAGTGCCACAGCTGCGGTGCCCGAGGCAGTGGTGCCACGGTGACACCACGATGCCCGTGGTGCCAATGCCCAGGTGGTGATGCCACGCTTGCAAGAGCACAGTGGCGATGCCCACGGCAGCAACACCATGGTTGCAATGCCATGGCATCGGTGCTACAGTTGCAGTGCTCACAGCAGCAATGCCCACTGGTGCAGTGCTTACAGTTGCAGCACTACAGCAACGATGCCCACTATTGCAGTGCCCACAGCTGCAGTTGCCCACAGTTGCAGTACCATGGTTGCAATGCCCACGGTTGCAGCACCACAGCAGTAATGTCCACTATTGCAATGCCTACAGCTGCAATGCCCACAGTTGCAATGCCCACAGTTGCAATACCATGGTTGCAATGCCCACTGTTGCAAAAGCCACAGCTGCAGTGCCCACAGTTGCAGCACCATGGCAGTGATGCCCACGACTGCAATGCTCACAGCTGCATTGTCCACTGTTGCAGTACCACGGTTGCAATGCCCACGGTTGCAGCACCATGGCAGTGATGCCACAGCTGCAACGCCTACAGCAACAGCACCACTGCAGCAATGCTCACTATTGCAATGCCCACAGCTGCATTGCCCACGGCTGCAGCACCACAGCAGTAATGCTCACAGCCGCAACACCACGGCAGTGATGTCCAACTACTGCAATGCCCACAGCTGCAATGCCCACAGCTGCAGCACCATGGCAGTGATGCCCACTACAGCAATGCCCCCTGTTGCAGTGTCCAGGTCACACCACCAGGCAGCAATGCCCACTGCAGCACTGCCACAGCACGGTGCCCACGATGGTGAGGCTCACGCTGACGCCACACAGGGCGAGGGCAGGAGGGTCCCCCCAGCACCCACCCCATCTCACCTGTGCCTGATAGATACTCCCAGGATCCCTTGGTCCTAATCCCACGAAGGAACGGTTCGCAGGGGGCGTGCCTGGTGCAGAGTAGGCTGGGGAACAAACGAGAGCTGATTAACGGCGCTGTGGGTGGCACTGCCATCAACCCCCCGCTGCAGGGATGGGCACCCAGGCACCCGGAGCTGGTGATGTGCCCAGCCCCACGGCACAGCCATTCGGCGCGGTGCCACGCAGCGCCCACCGAGGGATGGGGTCCGGCAGTGGGACCCCACGGAGGTGGTGACAGCGGGCTCTGTGCCCCCTTGGGACAGCCAGCCTGTGCCTGGGGGGGACTGGCACTGCCCAGCCCCCTCCCTGAGGCCGTGATCGATCTCAGGCCACGAGCTGTCCCCTCGTCACATCCCACCACGAAACGTGAATGCCACCAACACTCAGCACCCACACTCTGGCTGTTGGCAACTGGGGACAGCGGCCCACGGGCTGCTGGTTGTGTCCCCTTGGTGCGGTGACACGGGGACGTTCCCCACCGCCACAGCACTCCCAAAACCCCGCAGCCCCACGCACTGAAATCCCCAGGAACAGAGCACAGGGGGCTGAGCTCGTTAGCCGCCACCGCTAACGAAGCACAGCATTGACATCCGGGGGGGGGCTTGGCCAGCCCTCCCGCTCCAGCATCACCCCGCAGCCGGTGGGGACCCTGCTATATGGGCCCCCCCCGAGCCCAGCGCCGCACCGTCCCCGCAGCACCGCTGGGGAAACCGAGGCACGGAGAGGCCCAGCCTGGGCTCGTGGCTCCGCCGCCTTTCCTGCTCCGCCGGCCTCCCAGGGGGGGCCACGAGGCTCCTGCTGGTCCAAGGGACCAACGTGGAGCCTCACACCCCCCCAGGGGGTGGGAAGAACGGGGCGCCGTGCGCCCTTGGTCGCCCTGCCCGAGACCTGGCAAACTCGTGGCACGCATCCCGGAGGAGGTTGGGGGGGCCGGCGGGTGGGCGGGCGCCGCGGGGGTGCTTACTGGGTGACGTCGGTGAGGTCGTCCCTCCCTCCGAAGTTGTCGTGGCTGATTTGGTGTCAGGAGAGACGGCCAAGCGGGGCATGCCGGGGGGAGGTGGCGGTGCCAGCATCTGCGTGGGCAGGTAGTGGCTGGGCACTTTCACTTGACCACTTCCATTTAACTGGGGACACAACACAGACACAGAACACAAAAAACAGCACAAAGGCATTAGGGAGGGCGGCGCGGCCCTCGGTGGCACGAGTTTGCTGGGTCTCAGAGCTGACGGCGCCGATGAGACCCCACCCGGGGGTCACAGGGTAGGGGGATCACAGTGCCGGCCTCAATCCGGCCCGACCCCGCATGGGAAGGGCGGCTGTGTCCCCCACCGTGGTGTCAGACCCTGGGGGGGCTGAGCAGGGGGTCCCCAGGACCCTCCATGTTTGGTGACGGAGCTGCAGGTCTTGCAGGGTGATGCAGGGATGGAGGTCACCGCTGGAGCCAGTGCAAAGGGAGCCTGATGCAGAGAGCTGGGTGCGTGGGGTGCACGGGGTGCTGCGTGCATGGTGCACATGGTGCTGGGTACATGGGGTGCAAGGAGTACCTGGGGTGCAGGGAGCTGGGTGCATGGGGTGCCTGGTGCATGGAGCACACGGTGCTGGGTGCATGGAGTGCTGGGTGCATGGGGTGCTGGGTGCATGGGGTGCCTGGTGCCTGGTGCACACGGTGCTGGGTGCATGGAGCACTGGGTGCATGGGGTGCCTGGTGCATGGTGCACATGGTGCTGGGTGCATGGTGCCTGAGCTGGGCTGGGCTGGTGCTGGGCAGCCTGAGCTGCTGGGTGCATGGTGCACAGGATGCACAGGGTGTGTGGTGCATGGCATGCACGGGGTGCTGTCTGCATGGTGCACAGGGTGCATGGAGTGCTGGGTGCATGGTGCACGGGGTGCTGGGTGCATGGGGTGCATGGGATGCAGGCTGCCTGGTGCACAGAGTGCTGGGTGCACAGAGTGCATGGGGTGATGGGAGAATGGGATGCATGGGCTGCTGCATGCACAGAGTGCACAGAATGAGGAATGCATGGGGTGCATGGGGTGCTGGGTGCACAGTGCATAGGATGCACAGAGTGCTGGGTATGTAGGGTGATGGGAGACTGGGGTGCATGGGGTGCTGGGCGCACGGGTGCACGGAGCACTGGGTGCACGGGGTGAGGGGTGCAGGGGATGCTCACAATGCTGGGTGAATGGCATGCTGTGTGCACGGTGCATGGGGTGCACAGGATGCTGGATGCATGGCACACAGATGCACGTGCCCCACAGCTCAGGGTGCTTGGCTACACCTGAGTACCACTTCAAGGGTCACTGAGTGCACAGGCTGAGTGGTGTGCTGGGTGATGCGTGGGGCGCGCCGGCTGGTGGGTGCACTGGGAGCACAGGGGACGCTGGGTTTGAGGCGTGCTGGGTGCACGGGGAGCTGGTTTGTGCAGAGGGTGCTCGGTGCACGGCATGCTGGATGTGCAGGGGGCAGGGACGGGCGCACAGCAGGACCCTCCCACCCCCAGAACGCCCCCACCCCCAGGGCCACCCAGCAGGATGCGGCGCGGGCCGACGGGTCCCCAACTGCTGCGTGGGCGCACGGACCGACGGGGCACGGTGAGCTCCAGGACGGTGCCTCTCTGCAGACGCTCACACCCACAGCCCACCCCCCAACGACCCACCCCCTCTCCACGTGACGGCTCAGCCCCACAACCCCATCATCAACCACCACAGCGCCGACTCCATTTCTGCACCAAACCAATGCCAACGCTCATTTGGGGCCACGAAACCCCAGGTGCCGGACGCCGGCACCCCATGGAGCAGAGCACCTCACCACGTCACACCCCACGTCCCCACCACATCACACCCCACTGCCTCACACCCCATTGCATCACACCCCACTGCATCACACCCCGCATCCCCATGCGGCGACACCACAGATCCCCACGGCCATGCGATGATGATGGTTCTTGGGTACCCCATCCCCATGGGACAGCCGTGTCCCCATGGGGGCCGTGTCCCCCTGCGGTGGCCGTGTCCCCCTGGGGTGGCCACGTCCCTCTGGGGTGGCTGTGTCCCCCTGGGATGGCTGTGTCTCCATGGGATGGCTGTGTCCCCCTGGGGTGGCCGTGTCCCTGCGGTGGGACCGGCTCTGGGATGTGGGAGCCTTACCGGTCCAGGCTGCTGGTTGGACGGGTCGCAGGCCAGCGAGACGAGATCTTTCAGTGGGTCCTGCGGGTTGAGATGAGGCGGGTACCGGATGGCCGTGTGTGGGAAGTAGGTGGAGGCCGTCTGGGGGAGAATGGAGGTGGTGGGGAAATGCAGCGTGGATGAAGGGTGCGGGCTGCGAGCGATACCTGTGGGTGGAACAGGGACGAGGGGTGAAGGGAGGGGAGGGCGTCACCAAGAGCCCACGGGGGTCTTGTATCACCCCACGGGGGTCCCGTGTCACCCCACACCCCCGGCTCACCGCTGTGCACCGCGATGACGGGACGGTGGTGCTGCGTGAAGCTGCTCAGGCGGGGTGAGGAGTCCTGCGGCGAGGGGCTGTTGAAGGGCGATTTGTCCATCTCTGTCTTCACGTTGGGGGAGATGCCTGTGGGGCCGGGGGGGGTGGTGGTGTTAGGGGGCGGGCGCCCCACGGCGACGGGGTGCTATGGGGGGGCTGCGTGTGCAGCCTTGGGCTGCGCGTTTGTTTGCAGCAGCTGCACGCAGCTGTGTTTTGCACCTTTGTGTGTGTGCAACTGCGGGTGTGCGTTTGGGCAGCTGTGCGTGGATGTGCAGCAGCACGAGTGTGCGTGTGCACGGCTGTGTGCTGGAGACCTGCGTGTGTCTGAGCATACCACATCTGTGCACCAGCATGTGTGAGTGTGTGCGTGTCCGTGCACTGCGTGTGCTCACACCCTCCCCATGGCGCCGTGGGCACCCACAGAGCCCCGATGTGGGGCAGGACGTGGGGGCTCGCTGCTGGCTTTCTGAACCGTGGGGGTGGGTGGGTTAATCCCCCCCAGCTTTAGCCGTGGCCATTTGGCCCTGGTGCTGCTAATGGGTTTAGTGCTGTCTGAGTCGCTGCGTTAGGAGGATTTCCCGGAACATCCAGTACAGGATTGCTGTAAAGCCCACCACGCCGAGCACGTCCCGCTGCCCCCCCTTCCCCAACGGGATCAGCCCACTGCCAACCTCCTCCTGCCCCCTCCGTGGCCTCACGACTTGGCCTCGGCCTGGGGGCACGGTGTGGCCCATGCGGGGCACAGAGTCTGGTTTGTATAGGGCGCAGACCCTGGCTCATATGGGGCACAGTTCCTGGTTCATATAGGGCACCATTCCCAACCAGTGTCTCTGGTCCATAGAGGGCAAAGTCCTCGGCCCATATGGGGCACAGACCCCGGCTCATATGGGGCACAGTTCCTGGTTTACATAGGGCATAATTTCCAGCCCATATGGGGCACAGTCCCTGGTCCATATAGGGCACAGTCCTTGGCCCATATGGGGCACAGACGGTGGCTTATTTGGGGCACAATCCCTGACCAATATTTGGCACGCTCCCTGGTATATATATGGGGCTCAGTGTCTGGCATATATGGGGAACAGTTAAAGGGCCGTATAGGGCACAGACCATCTTCTGTATGGGGCACAGTGCCAGCCCTCTCTGGGTCGCAGGCCCTGGCCTATATAGGGCACAATCTCCAGCCCATATGGGGCACAAAGCCTGGCACATGTTGGGCACAGTCCCTGCTCCTCATAGGGCACAATCCATACGGGGCACAGTTGTCTGGACACAGAGCACACGGTGCCCTGACCATATGGGGTCTGGCCCCACATTTAGGGCAGTCAAGCTCATGGTGGGGCAGCACGGTGACTTACAGCATGCATTGGGGAACAGACCCCAAGAACTTGGGAACATCACCAAGAGGACAATACCTCTCTGGAATGAAAGCCCTATTGGGAAGGGTTTTTCTCCCACGGCACACAAAATCCCATTCATCTCTCCGATGGGCTCTGTGCCCCCTGCACTGCTCCCCGGGCACCCCACAGCTGTGGGATGGGGTCCATGGGATGTGGATCCCATCCTACCGTTGGGGTGTGGGATGGGATGGGGGGGAGATGAAAGCAGGGGGGGCTCAGCTGCCCATAAGGTGCCCCAGGGCGTGGGAGCCGCCATGCCAGCCCCGCAGCATCGCTTTAATTAGCCCAACCCACCCCAGCCCCCCCCCTTTTTCTTAATGAACAGCTAATTGGGGCTGTCTAGACAGGAAAGGGAAAAAAAAAAAAAAGGAAAAAAAAAAAAGCAAAGCAAAAAAGAAATCTGTCCGCAGTGCAAACGGCAGCTGTGGGGCTGGGATGGGAGAGGCTGGTGTGGGGCTGGCCCTATAGGGAGCCTGTGCCTAAATGGGGGGGTCCCAATGCAACCCCATAGCACCTACTGGGGGTCTGTGTCTAAATGGGAAGGATCCTATAGGAAATGGGGGGTCCTATAACAAACTCCATAGCAACTATTAGGGGCCTATGTCTCAATGGGGGGGGTCCTGCAGCAACCCCATGGCAGCTATAGAGGGCATTTGTCTAATTGGGGGGGTCCTATAGCAGCCCCCTGGCACCTACAGAGGGTCTGTGTGTAACTGGGAGGATCCTATAGCAGCCCCGTGGCACCTATAGAGGGTCTATGCCTAATTAGGGGGGTCCTGCAGCAACCCCATGGCACCTATAGAGGGCATTTGTCTAATTGGGGGGGTCCTATAGCAGCCCCCTGGCACCTATAGAGGGTCTGTGTGTAACTGGGAGGATCTTATAGCAGCCCCACGGCACCTATAGAGAGTCTATGCCTAATTGGAGGGGTCCTACAGCAGCCCCACGGCACCTATAGAGGGTCTGTGTGTAACTGGGACATCCTATAGCAGCCCTGTGGCACCTATAGAGGGTCTATGCCTAACTGGGGGGGGTCCAATAGCAACCCCATGGCACCTACAGAGGGTCTTGTGTCCCAACGTGGGGCTGGCAGCCCCTCTGACCCAAGGGCCCCATAGCACTGCACCAACACAGAGCTCCTTCGCTGCCCTGTAGGAACACCACAGCCCCTGCAGGGAACCCCCGACCCGCTGTGCCACACGGCAGCCCCACAGGGGGCAGCCCCACACTCACCCCCTTCCATGTCCTCCGTCCAGTTGCGGCTGCTACTCGTGGGTGAGTTGGACGAGGTGTAATACTCGCCGCCGGGGCTCGTGTCGATGTCATCCTCCATGGAGCCAGACTTGTGCCGTTTGCTCCTGAGAACAGCCAAAACTCAGCATCCCCTGCCACGCTATGGGGCTGCTGTGCTATCAGTGGGGTGACCCCAAGGGAGGCAGCCACACGGACCCCATCCTGTCCCCAACGCCGGGGTGACACTGGGGATGCTGTGCCCATGGAGATGCACCCGGAGCCCTGCAGCTGGGGTGTTAAAATCTGGGAGGGTGTGAACACAGACTGCAGAGCAAAACCCATCGTGGGGCGCTAACCCCAACAGCGGGGGGGGGGGCAAAACCACGCTGAGGTGCAAAACTGCGTTGGGGTGCAAACCCACGGCTGGATGCTGACACAGCACCGGGGTGAAGAAACCACAGCGGGGTGCTGATGGGGTGCAAGAAATGGTCGTGGGGTGCAAAACCCAACAGCGGGCTGCCAAACCCACAGCAGAGTGCTGAAAGTATTCTGGGATGCCAAAGCTGTGTCGGGTTTCAGAACCAAGATATTGGGGCACCCAACATGCGCCGGGGTACCTGAACCGTGTTGGGGTTACCCAAACTGTGCCGGGGTACCCAAATGGTTGCACGGCACCAAAGCAGCAGTGCAGCAGCCCACTCCCCCAGCTTCCCCCCACCCGCCCCGCAGCGCAGGCAGCCTGGCAGCACACGGCAGGACCCGACGTGCCCATGCCATCCCACACAGCCGTGCCTGGACCGGTCCCGGCATCGCCCCCGCGTCGCCCGGCGGCACCCACCCGCTGGAGGAGGTGCTGGGCAATGTCCTCCTCATGCCTGTGCTGGAGGGGTTCAGGTCGTAGGCCAGGTGGCCCTGCAGCTCCCCCAGGGAGAAATTTGGGCCCGTGCCCGTCACCACCGGCGCTGTGGGGAGAGGATGGCATCGGTAAGGGCACAGTGATGCCCCAGGGCGGCACCGGTAGGGTGGGTGCCGGAGGAGGGGCTCTGGGATGGCACTCACTTCGGGACACCTGGATGAGCTCGGTGACACTGAACACCCCCGAGGTGACGAAGCTTTCCTGGAAGTCTGTGGAGTCTGCGTTTGGGAGGGGAGAGCATGAGTGGGGGTCCCACCGTGCCCTCTGCACCCACATCTCCTCCTGTGCACCCATAAGGAGGCAGAGCCCTATCCCCCACCCCTTCCACGTGTGCCCGTGCTGCACCCAAGACCCCCTGTCAGCTGCTAAGCTCCTGTGGGATGCACGCCCCGTAGGGCAGGGTGATGCGTCCCCACCGTGTCCCCAAATGCCCCACAGGTCAGGGTGCTGGCACCCCACGTGGTGTCCCCACTGCGTCCCCTCTTACCCAGCGTGTTGGGCTTGGTGTCCTCCTGGTCCGAGGCGATGCCCGTCCGGGGACTGCTGCTCTGCTCGGAATCTGGAAGAGGGAAAAAGGGATTGAGACACGGGGAAACTGAGGCACGGCCACCGCCAGATGCTGCAACCCACAACCAAAGCGGCACATCCCTGCTCACGGGGACCCCGGGGTTCCCTCACACGGTGGCGGGGCTGGGGATGGCCTTGTGCAGATGCTCCCCATCCCTACAGGGCTGTGACACGGCCACCACCCCGCTGCCATCCCCGCTTGGCCCTCAGCTAAAAATACACACAGACGCTGAGCTCAGCAGCCACGGGAGCATCCTTCCTCCCGACCCCGGCACACGGCGCATCCCCGCGGAGCCCTCCAAGCATTCACCCATCTTTATTATTTTTATTCTTTTTTTCATTTCCCCCCCTCCACCCCCCTCCCTCCTCCTTCTCCCACCCCTTTGGCCGTCAGCAGTGCTGCCTGATGCCAGGAAAAGGCTGAGACAATCCAAACAGCGCAGCCACAACACCGCCGCCCGCCCGCCGCTTTCTTTTCTCCATTTCTTTTATTATTATTTTTTTTTTCCTTCAACGTTTCATTCTTTCCTTTCTTTTCTCCCCCCCCCCCCCCCCCTCCCCTTTTCTCCCCCAACAGCCATTTTGTGCCCCATCCCACCCAACACCCCACTCCGCTTCCTCCGCAGCGGCCATTTTAGGGAGCAGAAATTCCCCCTTCCGTTCAACGCGGCACCGTTGGCTTTTTCCCCATT